CTGAGCAGGCACAGCAGTATTTATTAAGTGGTGGCAATGCTCAGCCCGTGCCCTGCCTGTGCCTTGCTGCCCGCCCGGCGCCGTGGTAGGTGACAGCCAGAGCAGCCCGTCTGCCGGCACCGCGTGCCAAGAGCTTTGCTGAAGCTCAAATGGTTTTGGTAACTTTGTAGTAAATGAAAGAGAACCGGCTCCTGCTGGGACCTCGCTCCCCCTTCCTGACAAGAAGCGTTGTGTAATGCTACGTCAGTTATTTCCATGTACATCTCAGTTCCTCAGGGAGCTGTGTCATCTCTTGCACTGGGAGCTTTAGTTCACCCCAGTAAAGATGATTTCTATTAAATCTACAGTCTCAGGGGCTCAGGACTGGGATGGTCCTTTATGCTGTAGCCCAGTATCCTGTCTCTCTCACAACATGATGCTGTGAGATTAAGCTGCCAAGAGATATCAGATACATGTTTGAATGTATTTTATTCTTCATCTTCACAAATTCAGGGAGAAAAAAACACACAAAAGCAATAAGGTGAATGGAGTGTGCTTACTTTTCCTCCGTTTCTGCTATTTTTGCAGTGGGACGCATTCTCCATCCCAGAGTTACAGAACTTCTTGATGATACTGGACAAAGAAGAAAAGGACAAAATCCAGCAAGTGCAAAGGAAGTACGAGAAGTTTAAACAGAGTCTGCAACAGACCTTGAAAGAAGCCAGAGGCAAGCCTGGATAACCCTTCAGCAGGCACTGGGCACCAGACTAAGCTAGGTATTATTTTTAAAAGGAAAAGACACTTCTCAGGACACCTTATTGTGGTCACTCTCCCTCTTCGTGCTTTCATTAAGGACTGGCTCACAGCACCCAGAAAACGAGCATACTGTATTTTCTTCTTTTGAAACCTCTTATCCCAGGACCAGAGCCAGTCAAAGAATGGGAAGCCCGTTTCCAAACTGTGCCTGTTAACAAACCAAACACAGCTGCCGGTTCACTTTTCAGCTGTACCACCTGACGGAGAAGCTTCATAGAAAATGCTATGTTGACCTCAACAGGAACATCCACTGGCTGATGTTTTGATCAGGGTAATGCTGCTCATGCTCCTCCCAGCAACTTCCTGCTTCTTGTTCGGAGGTGCTGCGGCTCATTCATTACGTGGCCGAGTTCTCGTTCCATAAGTAGAGCACAGGAAGCAGCAGATCAAGTGGAGGAGGTTGTTGCACCAAACCACGTGGGGGTTGCAGCTGCAATCGATGCCAAACGGACTTGTTCAGGGCTGAGGTGCCAGGGAAATGTAAAGTTGTGACACCAAAGCAGCTGCAACAGCCAAAGTCTGTTAGTATTACTGAAACTTGGTGGTATTCATTCCAGGAAAAGTCATCTGTTTTGAGTCTAATAAACTTCCAAATTTGAAACCAGATGTGAATTAAAGCAAAT